TTTTGAGTGAGTGCCCATTTGCTGAAGCCCTGGTCTAGGTCCCCCGCTGAGCATACCAGTCCCATGCATTGTGTCTCTGCAGCGATCTGTCAGCTTAGCTTGTCTGAGGCTTCATTGTGATTTCTGATTTCATGATATGTCTGATCTCTAGGGCCAAATTCAGGGACCTCTATGCTGGTACCATCTCTTTTTCTCTGTCCCCTTCCTTGTTTCTTTCTTTCTTTTTTTCTTTTTTTGTTTTGTTTTTGTTTTGTTTTTGTTTTTTTGTTTTGTTTTGTTTTTCGAGACAGGGTTTCTCTGTGTAGTCCTGGCTGTCCTGGAACTCACTCTGTACACCAGGCTGGCCTCAAACTCAGAAATTCTCCTGCCTCTGCCTCCCAAATGCTGGGATTAAAGGCGTGCGCCACCACTGCCCAGCCCCTTATTTCTTTTGTACTCCTTCCTTCCTTCTTTTCTCCTTCATTTCTTCTTTCCTTTCTTTAAGAAAGAGTCTCAGAGAGCCCAGGCTGGCCTCAAACTCAATATGCCTAAGAATGACATAGGATGACCTTGAACTCCGAATCCTCTAGCCTCTGCCTCCTAAGTGCAGGATTAAGGGTGTATGCTATTATATCTAGTTTACACAGTGCTAGAGATTGAACCCAGGGCTTCATTCGTGCTAGCCAAAAGCTGACCAATTAAGCTACATCCCTAGCATGTGCTTGCCAATCTCCCAGTGTCTTTAGTTCTATTCCAAGTACATCAGCACTGGCCAGCCATTCCAGGGACTGAAGAAGACTGACAGGTGGCACCACTCTGCTCCCTCAGAGGAGCCCACATTGGCCTTGGAAAGGGCTTCAAGATCAACCACACACACATACTCTGATGGAAGGTATGAAGGACGGCCTCCCCATCTGTCTTAGTTATGGTTTCTCTTGTTATGAAGAGACGCCATGACCACAACAACTCTTACAGTTTAATTGTGGAAAACATTTAATTGGGGCTGGATTACAGTTCAGAGGTTTAGTCCATTATTGTCCATGGCTAGAAACATGGCTGCACACAGGCAGACATGGGGCTGGAGAAGGAACTGAGAGTTTTATATCTGGATGGGCAGGCAGCAGGAAGAGAATGCCACACTAGGTCTGGCTTGAGCATCTGAGACCTCTAAGCCCACCCACAGTATCATACTTCCTCCAACAAGGCCACACCTCCTCCAACAAGGCTACACCTCTCAATAGTGTCAGCCCCTCTGAGCCTATGGGGACCATGTTCAAACCACCATATCATCATCACCACTGCAGTCCCCACAGCCTCCACAGTCACCTGCTTATCCAGCCTGGCTCCCTGGGCTTCCATAGCTTGAATATGGTGCTTGAGGAATTTATCTGAGGCTGATTGAACAGACAAGTCACTCCCTGGGTGTAAAAGGTTGGAGAACTACTCTTACTTCTATGTGAGTTCTAGGAAACAATCTGTAGAAATGAAAATAGTTGCTCTGAATGGGAAGAATCAGGGAAGTGTTAGACCTTTTTTTTTTTTTTCTATTTCTCTAAGTACAGATCTATTTTTCTCTTTCAAAAGAAAACAGGAATGCTAAGAAGATCCACAGTTAGAGAGCATTAGCTGCTACCATCAGTGGAACGATGTACAGAGGTTTCTCTTTCCTTCCTAGTCCTTCATGAAGGAGTCAGCCCGTGTGTGTGTGTGTGTGTGTGTGTGTGTGTGTGTGTGTGTCTCCTCTGCCAACCTCAGGGCAGGGTGCCCAATGAAGGTAGCCTCAGGTAGAAGTGTGGATTTTCAGAAAAATCCAAAGCCTAGGTTATTCTAGGAGCACCTGCCAAATTTTAGCATTTACCCAGCAAGTGTCTCGCTCTGTAAGAATGCCCTGTGCAACCAAGGTGGTCTGAGGGCTATTTCAAATGCTCCCTCAATGAAAGAGACCCCAACACTGATATTTCCTGAGGTTTGACAAACGTTGGCTGCCCAGCATTGTTGTGCCTGAGGTCCCTGCCTAGGGCAGAGGGGAGGGGTTCCATCTGGGCAGGGAGACATGTGCATGTGCCTCTTCCCCCCAACCCAGGTTCTTTTCTGCTCTGCCCTAGAGCCTCATACTGCCAACAAAGATTCAAGGCTTCCTGTCTCCAGGTTCTCTAGCCACCACTCCCTTGTCCTCTCTCCTTCCTCAGGGCTCATCTGATTCAGTAAGTCCTCACAGGCTTCTTACCCTCCCCTGCCAGCATCAGTTTTCCAGGACTCTCATGTTCCGTGGTGCCCCAGATTCCCATGGCTGAGTATAAACTGCCTGCTCCCTCCAATCTCACTGTTCTCTTTTTATGGGCTCTGAGCCATGTAGTGGAAGGTGGTAGCACTGTTACACCCCCAAGAATTGTCCAGAGGCCTGTGGCATTTGTCTCCAATGTGGAGAAGGAAGTCTCCCCTCACCCTGCTTGGTGAGCAGTTGCCTACCAACTGAAGGGCACGTCCTCCCATGAGTTGCCCAGATCTAGGCCTGGATAGGCTCTGCTAATAGATGCTGGTGGGACTCTCTGCACTCCACACCTCACACTAAATACTACTACATGGTGTGACTGACTGATAGCTATCTCCAGCATCATGTGGCAAGCTTAACAAGGCAGAGGTTTACCTTGCTCCGTGAGCTCCCCTCTGGGCAGCATCAATTGATTTGGGGCTGAGGCGATACTGAGAGTAGGGTCTGGATTTAGTTTGTTGCCATACCTGAAGGGCAGACCCAAAGATTCTACTACAGAGAATTCAGAAACAGAGCCCCCACTGTGCAAGCAGCCCTCAACTTAGCCTTGTTGTAGAAGGACAAATGGAGTGTCACCTGTGCCATGTGCTGTGATCTGAATGCTTGTCCTGTCCCTTATTTGCATGTTGAAGCTTGACAGCACCCCCCCCCCCCAGATGACAGTAACAGGAGGTGAAAAACCTGAACCAACTCAGACACTGCCCTTTATGGTTTGCTCTACAGTGACCAGGAAGTGGTTTGTGCAGACTCACCCTGAAGAAGGCTGTAACCAGGTATCTGTCAATGCTCATGTCATATACCTTTTGGATGCTATTCTCCAAGGGAACAGGGACTTTACTCAGATGCCCTCCACCCTGCATGCGGATTCTAACTCACCCAGACAATGCTAACCCCGCCTTAGGAGCCTGGTGATGGCGTCCTCAATGGTGGAGGACCTTGTCTCTCTGGTACAAGAAAATGTGGGCATAGAAAAAGCTAGGCAAAGAAACCAATCAAGCAAACAAACCAAACGGGTGAAGCCCTTTGTTCTTGGAGGCAACTGAGTACATGCACCCCCCCCAAGCCCATCAAAAGGTAGCCTTCTGAGAACCAGCCACCACGTCCAGCCTTCAAATTGTGGGTTTTTGTGTAGCATCCCCAGAAGCAGTAGGGTTCACGATGCCTAGCTACCCACCATAGCCTGGGCACGCTATCACTCTGTGAGTCTGGGTGGTAGGGTAATGGCAGACAAAACAGCTCTGGATATTATCAAATATCATCCAAGCCAAGTGTCTACTGCAATGCTGAGTGATAATGCCAGCTCCCCTCACCTCCAAGGCCAAGGCACCTATGACAGCCATTAAGCCATGCTCTCAGCAGGGGCCTTCAACCTTCACACCACACAGTGAACCCGTAGCCTCGGACAACTGTTGATAAATAAAATCCCTTGGGTTAAGGGCCCACCCAAGGCGGCTCTCTAATTTCAGACCTGCAAAAAGCTTCTCTATCCATAGTGGGCATGATGACCTCCCAACTTCCTTGAGCTCCTAAGATGGAAATTGAGAGGCCCAGAGCCCCACTGGTGGGGGAGGAGCCTCAGGGAACAAGTGTCTGAGATGACTGAATCTGGGAGAGATTGGGGGTGGTCTTTTGGGAGCATTGATCACAAGTGCTGAAAGCTTTGTAGGACAGCATCAGTGCCTTTGAAGCTGACAACCACTCAGTGTGACAGCTGCCGTTCCCTTCTGAGCCTAGAACACCAGAAAACTGGAAGTTACCTTACTTGAAACCCGGAAACCAAATAGTGTCTGCTGTTGTTTATTGGCAGTTCCTGTTCCACAAATACTTTTCTGAACATGCCCCTCTCTCCAAACCTGTTCTCTCCCGACCTTTGCACGAGAGAGAGAGGGGGTGGGGGGAGAAGAGAGAGCGAGAGAGGTGACCTCTTCCTGACTCATGGTATGCAACAACAATATTAACCTCTCAGTTCCTACCTTGGAGAAAGACACCATAGGCCACCATATAGCTTAACAAAAGGCCCAGACCCACCTTAGACCCTAGACACTCGTGTGCTTCTAGGAAGACTTGAGAGCACTACAGTGGATGATTGATGAGAGCTTGTCATCCATATCTTTCTAGAACCTATATGGCCCTGGGCTCATTAGCAAGTAGCCCAGTGCAGCCTGGGAAAGCTCATCTGAAAGTGAATACAGACTGGTCCACACAACCAGGGAGCTTTATGTTTAAATGGGATCACTCTAGTGCTTCCTTTGTTGCTTGGCTGGGACAAAGCTGAGTCCTCCAGTTTCTTACTTTCAATCCTTGGGCTGCACTTCAGGCAGTCTGCATTGGGGAAGAAGATGACAGATTTGGGTAGAATATGGCCAGGAAGGTGAGCATCAAGCAAAGGGCTCCAGGTGAGATGAGAGGGTCACCAAATGGGGACAAATTTCCTTGACATTGGCCAAGATGACCACCTAATCCTCCCTCAGGACTTAGAGCCTCCCTCCACAGACCCCTTTATTCTGTGAGAGCACACCGTTGGGTTTCAGGGCGGCGCCAGAGGCGATTCAGCCGTGTCCCCTGGGGCAGCAGACCCGGGCGGGGCGGGTGGCCAGAGCTCCGCCCTCCTCTGACCCAGGCTTTTCAGCTTTTAACCCACGCGGGAGGGCGCCGCGGTCACTGGGCGCTGCGGAGCGAGCGAGCGAGTGGTCAGTGCGGAGTCGGAGGCGAGTGTGTCCAGTCCCAAGGCCGACGCCAGCTCGCAGGCATGGCCCCAGCAGCGGCTTCGGGTGGCAGTACCCTGCCCAGTGGTTTCTCGGTCTTCGTCACCTTCCCTGACTTGCTCTTCGTCTTAGAGTTCGTGAGTGATAGCGCGCCCTGTTCTGGGAAAGGGACGGGGTGGGCTGAGTTGCTGGGGAGCTCTGCACCGCTGTCCCCAGTTACACCAGTAGCATGAAGGGAACCAAAATTGAGAAAGTTTTCCCCATCTCTCGGTGGTCTGTTCCTTTCTAAAATAGCGGACCGACTTCCCAGGCAGGTGCAGGAAAACCTCTTCCTAGAGTTTTGCTCCTTTCAGAGCGCAGCTTCCTAACAAGGTGCCCTGCCTTTCCCACAGAGAGTCCTTCTGAGTAAACAAGCCCAGCTAAAGAACCCTTCTAGGCTGGGGGCAGAAATTTGGAGAGCAAGAGAAGCCAGACTTTTCAGGTCCTTTGAAGTTTTTGGAAAGGGAATGCCTCTGTGCGGAATTTGAAAAACAGTGGCTGTCGTTTGCTGGGTTGCAGTCCTTAAGCCCAGTGTGAGGGGAGGGAGGAGTCGAGGGAGACAGGTGAATTCTGTCGCCTGCCTTGGCTGACCTTGGGCTGACTCTTCGCCTGGGCTGGGTACTACTAGACTTACGCTCTAGAGTCCACTCACTAGCTTCGAGAAATTTTCCTATTGTGAACTCCGGGTAAAGTGTCCCAAGACTTCAGAGCTACTTCAGTTTCCGGTCGCCAGGGTCCTCTAGCACTTACCTGGACAGGAGGGTGTTTGTTTAATTCTGTGGGTGTGGAGACAACATTTCCTGTGCTTTTACCACGCAGACAGAAATCTTTGCGTGGAGCATTGGCTTGGAGAAAAAGAAATGTGGATAATTTTAACAACTGAAGCTCGGCTTCTAACTGGATGGTTAGGAACCGACATGCGGATGCCAAAGACAGTGGGCTCCATCATCAAGGGATGCCTCTGAAACTGAGATGAGTACTGAGTTGAACCCAAACGTGGGTGTCTCTAAAGTGAGTTCATACCCCAGGCATAATCACGGCCATGGGTATGGAAGTAGCATTTATAAGAAACCCTGCACACCACCAAGCCAAGCCCTACAACTTACAAATAGGAGCACCCAATGCCCAGAGCTGGATTGGACTTGCCAAGGTCATCTAGGTCTTTAGCAGCCCTTTTGATCTCATAGAATTCCTTCTATGCTCAGGATTGCCAACCAAACCCTGGACCAATGCCAACTTAATGTATTTGACACAGGCATCTGGCTCATATGAGAAAGTACCTACTGGGTGCTGGGGGGGGGGGCATTCTTGTCTTTGATATCTCTTAGCCTATGTCTGCTCAGTATTGGTTTTCTAAAAATGAGCAGATGGTATCCAGGACCTGAGAATAAGTAATGGGTGACTCTTCAGAATTTTATAAAGAGGAATTTACAGAGGTCTGATCAAAGGAGAGCAAGATTCAGTCTGAGGTGTGATGGGATAGGGGGTTTTTAAGGAAAAAAAAAAATCTTAGTCTCTAGAAACTGCTGTTGGCTCTTTGAAGACCATACCAAGTCATGAGATAAAGTGCCAGCTGATCTTCATGCTTCTTTGTGAAGACTTTGGTTGTAGACAAACACATGCACACACACACACACACACATACACACACACACATACACAGGGTGGGAGGCACCTCTGGTGATGACAGGACCACAGCCTCCAAGGGTCCTCTCCCATTTTTAAGTTATTCAGTATGACAGAAAGACTAGTTCTGAGGATAGGAACAGGCTAGCCAGGCAGGACAATCAAATCTACAGACAGGATAGGAGGACCCCACCATCCTCATGAAGAGAGTTGCTTGGTGTGGAAAATTTCAGCCCTACATGTTTAGTGAAAATGCCCCCCACTAGTGTGCTCTCCACTCCTGTGTGTGATAGCAAGGGTCTCTAGGGTTCCCTCCTGACCAGAATCCCTTTGTGTTTTAAAAAATGTGTCTCTTCTACCTCAGCCGTTGCTTGTACGTCTGCCCACCTCCCACATCTGTCACTTTCCCCAGAGACCTTCCATGTCTCACTTGCCATCTTTGACTCTTTCTTCCTGGAGATTTTAGGGCTGGCTTCTGCCTGGGAGAGAAGGGAGAAGGCAGACTCAGTCTGTAAGAGTTCCTCAACATAGACCATGCATATGAAACAATATGTGTTTTGACAGAAAGCTGGAAAGTTAAAAGTTTGGAAGAGGCACTGACCACCTCAGGGGTGTTTTCTTAAGAATATTATAACTCAATACCTAAAATACAATTATAATGTGGGCAAATGGCTTGAACCCATGAAATGATGCTCAGCTGAGGTAGTCATCGAGAAAAGGAAACCAAAACCTCACTGAGTCATCACCTCCCACCCATTAGATGGACTATGAGTGTTAAAACAGGTCCAGAAGAAAAGACTGCAATAAAACTTTAAAATAACCCCTCTCAATGGAATCTAACAGACATGCCAGAAATATAATCATCACCTCCCCCCTCTGCCCTCCCCAAGAGGTGGGTTGTCAGCAAGAAGGGCTAGAAGTTCATGACAAAACTTCTAGAAGAGTCTATAGAAGCCTGGTGTGATGGTTCATACCTGTAATCTCAGTCAGGAGCTGTGAGTTTGAGGCCAGCCTGGGCTATATAGTCATACGTTGTCTTTTTAAAAAGAGGTACTAGGAATTCCAAAAATGGCTGTTTATATACCTCTGCACATCTCAAAACTTGGGGAAGGAGGCGAGGTCAGTCCCTGGTGACAACTGGGTAGGTACATATTTAGGGGTCCGGAATTGGTATGCAGTATTGACTACTACATTGAATTGGACCTGTTAATTATTAAAATGATGGCTTTTATGGGTCTCAGAATAAAGAAGAACTTTTTCTTGTCTGAAAATGACTAGACAGGTCCTAGGTTTTCACCTGGCTGAGGACGAGCCAGCCCCACAGAGCCTTGATTGGGTCGTGAGATGATGCAGCCAGCCCGCCAGAGCACAAGAGATGTAGAATCCCAGACCCTGCATTTTCAGGTCTAGGTAGAAACTGAGGAAGAGTGGGAGCCACTTGCCTGAGTCTGGGCAACTGCTTTCTTACAGCAAAGGTTTTCGGGAGCAGATAACTCTATCAACTTGGCAGCTCTCTCTCACCCATTGGGGAATGTAGGGACAGCTCAGAGTCACTGCAGAGCTGCTGATTGCAACACCACCACTACATAAAAATATTCTCCACAGGTTCTTAGTCCCTGCATCCAATAACGATAAGCCCTACACTGACCACTGACTCAGTGGGTGTGGTCATATGTAATCCGGGCCACCTTTTAAGACCTTTTCTAAAAGAGTGGATAGAAGAATGGATATCTGAGAGGCAGGTGAGGTTCCCAAGTGTCCTGAGGTTCTCACAGTTCTGTAGCACAGACACTCTGTTCGAGCATTTCCCTGGTGTCCCTAGGAAGTGGGATAGAAAGAGGGGCTAGGGCTCCTCCAGGGTATGTGGCGTTATGTGTCCTGTGTTTTGGCATCCTCTCTGAGCTCTCTAGAGGGAAGTACTGCAAATTCTGCTCCAGCATTCTACTCCCCTCCTCTCCTCTAAAGGCAGAATTATAGAGATCTGGGGAGAGGAGTTCTTGGCCTTGAGAAGTGACTTTTCCAGTTTTTCAAGGGCCAGTGGCCTGCTTTGATCAGGAGTTGGTAACTCAGAGCAGCCACAGAGACACCTTCCCTACCTGAGAGCTTCCAGTGAGTGCAGGGAAGGAGGACCCACAAAATGAAATGCTGGAAGGGTAGAGAAAGGTCAGCTCTCAGCTGGGCATCCCTGCATGTGTCTGCAGGACCAGTAGAGAGACCCTGGAGCTGCCTACCCAAGAATGCCTGCACTTTGCTTTGGCACCACAATCCATCATTGAGAGAGAGGGCTGGAATGGACACTGGACCAGGAGGAGGCCAGTCCTTATATAGGAGGAGCCAGAGGTTGACTCTTAATGAATTAAAGAAATACTTTCTGGAAGGAGACTGGCTAAAATCTCCTAGTACAGCCAGACTCAGTCTTCCCCCTGAGAACTCACATTGTCTGTCCCTAGATCTGGCATGACTTGAGACCTGCAGTCCTAGAGAAAGGTGCTAGTAGAATACTCCAGTAACTGTCGCTTCTGGAGTCACCAAATGCGAAGCCAGTAGTAAACGCACCCTCATTCTCGAAGCAAAGCACCATGGGCGAGTGTGGCTGACCCCTTCTCATGGGTTTAGATTAATCCCAAGAGTAAGGAACAAACAGCAGGTCCCAATTGGTCCCGATTCGTCCCAATTCATCCCGATTGGACCCATAATACGTGGGTCCTTCTGTACGCTGGAAGGCTTAGTTTCCTGCTAGCATCTGGCTGGACATCAGCAGTGGCATTTCCCAGGGTTATTGATTCACTCCAGCCTCACAGCCTCAGGCTCTGTGCGATTAATGCTTCACATGTTGGTAGTTTTCTGCCCTTATCTGGGCAAAACAACCCCAGTGTGGATCACAGGAACACATCAATGTTCCCCGGACCTGCAGAATGGCAAGAAAGCCTCATTATAAGTTGTGACAGGTCAACATACTTGGGCAGAGGAGAGAACCTGTGGAACACAGCCAAGAGGACAGGACAGGTCCCTCTGAAACTATTGGTTCAACTTCCAAGGAGGCCCCTAAAGGCCAAAGGAACAGGTTTCAGAGAGTGGGCACCTCAGAGAAAGGTCAAAGATTACATCCTCCATCAGGGTAGACCACAGAAGAGGGCATGCTGTCCCTGGGTGTTGTTGCTTCCTGTGTTATTTAGGTATTAAACACAAACTTTATTATTCTTGTCCTGGGAAGGAACAGAGCTTATCGCCACTATTGTCTCATGGCAGGAAGGGCAGACATGAGTTGCCTCCCCAATCATCTCCTCTGTCATTCCCTTCCTGCCCTGTTGAGAGCCAACAAGGACCAAGGGACTCTTCTCCTCTCCCTTGGTATTAATAGTCCCATGGCCATGTCTAAAGCCGCCCAGCTACAAGGTTGAATTCATGCTAGACTTAGTGAGAATCCATGGGTAAATGTCACATTCATTTCTGTTGCTGTGATGAAATACCC